CCTATAATACTAATACAATGTAAATGTCATGTAAATAGTTGTACGACGGAAATACTATGTAAATAGTCACCAGCTCAGCAAATTCAAGTTTTGCTTTTTGGAACTTTCTGGAATGTTTTTTTTTTTTCCTATCTGCGGTTGGTTAAATCTGTGGAAGCGGAACCCGCAGATACGGAGGGCTGTCTGTACCTACTACATACCAGGCACTTTGCACAGACCATTCCCCTTACTCCTGAGGAGAACCCTGTGAGAGAGATGTCCTTGTCTCATTTGACAGAGGCTAGGTAACGTGCCAGTAATCCCACAGCTAGTGAGAAGCAGAGCTGGGATTTGGCCCCTGGCCTGCCTACCTCTGAATCAGGCCCCTGCCTCTACCTTAGCTGCCCCTGCTTGTTCCTGGGGATGGGCAGAGAAAGGTCCCAAGCCACTAGGCCCTCTTGTCCTGCAGGCTGGTTCTGTGCGGGCCCTTGTCCTCCCTCCCTGCAGACAGTCTAGGGGGCGACAGAAGGACAAATCAGCAAGGGTGGGGACAACGGCAAGGGGAAGGCGTGGCGCTGGCAGGCCAGTTGGCTGAGGTCAGGGCTCAGGGCAGACTAGCCAGGGACTCCTCGCCTGCTGGGCGACATTCAGGAAGCCTAACCACATCCGGCCCCAGGAGTTCCCAGGCCCTGTGGGCTCCCAGTGGTAGGGAGAGAAAACCTCGCCTGGCCTGCTGCCGCCTTGCTAAAAGCAGGAGGAAAACAGCCTGCCATCTGGGACCTTCCCCCTGGGCTGGGGACGGCTGGCCAGTCCTTTCCCCACTGTGGGCCTCCAGGGTCTCCTCTTCTGTGTGAGGAGGGGCCGTGACGGCTGGTGGCTCCAGGACCCTCCCAGATCTAAATTCTCTGAATCGATGCCGCTTCCTCACAGAGGGCCCGGCAGGAAGAGGAAGGGGGTGAGGCGTCCCACCCAGCTCCCGAAGGAGCCCCTTCCTCTTCCCCTCAGCTCCAATCCCACTACTATTTTTAGAACTGGGAGCGTCTCCGCCAGCCCTGCCCTGCTCAGAGCTCCAGGTAAAACACAGCAGCCCCATTCATTCTGCTCCAGCAAGAACGCGTGGGGAATTTATAGACAAGCCAGCCGACCAGACAACCTCTCCCCACACCATTAGCAGGGCTATTTCTCACTATTTCCATTAGACAGTCCAAAGTGATGACTTACTTTTCCTAATGACAACACAGCCAAGTGAGATGACAAGTGTCTCTAGGACAGTCTGTACCCTGCCCCGTCCCCAACCTGGCAGACTCTTCAAAGGCCGCTGAAGGAGAGCGCTGAGCGCGGGGTCCTAGTTCCAGCACTAGCACCAATTATGTGCCCCTGGCCAAGTTCTTGCCCCTCTCTTGGTCTTGGTTTCTACAAATCAGCTTGTTAATCGATTGATCCTGGTGAGGGAGGGAGGAGGCTTTTCAGTTCCACACTCAAAGATTCTGTGGTTCTATCAAAATTCTAGTCACTCGTGAAACAAATATTATATTCTCTGCTTTGTGGTGTGTGTTGAGCTGTATTCCCAAATCATCTGAGAGTTGATGATGGGTCTCAGAATGCATTTTCCCATTGAAAATTGTGTTATAAATGGTGGTCAGCTTCCTAGGCTAGCCTACTGAACACTTAATTTTCTCCCACGAGGAGAAACAGCAGAAACCTATATTGTGATAGAATTTAACCAAAATGGAAAACGACTAACGTTTAAAAGACACTGTTTTAGAAAATTTACCCTGAGTAGTGTTTGAGCAAAAGAAGATATACATTAAAGGCAATGAAAAAGTCTGTGGCAACTTCTGGGGAAGAGTCTGAAGGAGACTTCTGACCACACTGGAAACTAAAGGCACTGCACACAGATTCTCACTACTTCCATTGAAAGTTAGCTTTATGCCATAGACCAGGAGTCCGATTAAAGAACCTATGTGTATACCTGTATATGTGAAGTTAAAACAAGAGTCCAGTGAGCAGGAAAAAAGAAGGGCCAGGGGAAGATTCTAGGTTTGAAAGCTCCTTGCCATTTTCCCTGGGCGGGGGAGCCTGAAGGAGGTACACTTGGCTGGGAGGAAGCAGGGCTGTGCTTACAATCCGAGTGCCTGTGATGAGGACCCCTTCCTGTATAAGGTTCATACGTATACTTATTTGTCTCAAGTACATGATGAATATTAACCACGTACAACACTTGCATATATTCACACACATACACTCTTGTTTCAATGTGAAGACCAAAATGTCTGATTTCTTTTTTCTTTTAACCTGTTATTAGAGTCCTGAGGCTTTGAAGATGACTCCTGGAGATCACCTAAATTCAACTCCCTCATTTTTCTTGGTAAAGAAACAAATGATCAGAGAAGTGAAGTAATTTGCCCAAAGTCCCTCAGTGAATTACAAGCAAAATCAGTATTTGAACCAAGATCTTCAGAATCCTACTCTGCTTTTCTCTGAAGGCAAGGAGCTCAGTGAGAAGGGAGCTCCACAAACCCAGGGAAGAGAACCATAGGAGCAGTTCTGGGTCTCAGAAGGGTCTCCTTCCCTCTGAGGATGCCCAGAAGTCAGTGTGGATATGGTGGCATCTATAACCCTGAAGTGAGTCTGGCCAGATTAGATTGCTTAAGACCAAGTGGGGATCCAGGCTCTGGTCTTACAAAGCCGAGGTGCAATGGAAAAAGCTCTGAGCCAAGAAAGGCAGGAGACCTGCGTTCTAGCCCTGGCTCTGCCACTTCCTTGTCCCATGAACCTGGCCAGGTCACTTCCCCTTTTTGAGCCTCAGTTTCCTCGTCTAGATTCCAAAACGTGAGAGGCTTGAACTGCATGGCCCAATCCAATTCTACAACATCTACTGAGCACCTACCAAGGACCAGGCAGTAACAGAATCAGAAATAAATAAACTTTGACCTCCACTGGCTCCCAAGGAGCTCACGGTCTTGCAGGTGAGACATATCTGCCTAACTCACTGTGCTAAAGATGAACAAAACACTGTGGAATACAGAGGGGGAAGCAGTGGCTTCTGACACACGTCTGAGAAAGGTGTCTCAGGGGAGGCTTGAAGGCTGAGGACTGTATGTGTCAGGAACAGCAGAGGAGGGCAGGCGACATCAGGCAGAAGAAACAGCCTAAACACGAACATGCGTGGGGAATTCAGAGAAGGAAAATAATCCAATACGGCCGAGCTGTGGGCACAAAGCAGGAGGGCAGAGGGTGAGCCTTAAGAAGCAGGCTGGGACCATGGCCTCCCACGATGGTCTTGGAGCGGGAAGTGTGACTGCTCAGCTTCCCCACCCCTCCCAGCTTGGATGGTCTGTGACTGCTGAAAAGTAGGAGAGCAGAGCAATCCAAAGCCAGTGCTCTGGAGCTGGGCACCCAGGTTCCAATCCAAGCCACCCACTGGCTGTGTGACCTTGGGCAAGTTTCTTCTCAAAGACTCAGCGTCCTTACCTGTATCAATTGGGTATAATGAGAGTAAATGTGTAAGGACCACAAAGAACCTCACGAAGCTGTAGTGAGGATTAAAGAGACAATGTAGGTGAAGAGCCTGGCATTGCTCCAGGTTCATGGCCTAAGCGCTCACTTATAAATTACCTACTGTTATTATTCTACTCTTAAACCAAGGATCTGGGAACAGTTTGGAGGACAGTGGCCCTATACAGAGAAAGGCTTGAAGAAAGATGAGGTCAAGACAAGATAGAGGGTAAGGTTGTGCTATCTTCCTTAAGAACAAAAAAAGATAGCAAGATGACTGAGGCCAAGAGGAAGGTGGGAAGAAGGCAGTCTCTCCGCAGCCAGACGGGCAGCGAGGAGGGGAGGGCAGAGAGCTGTAGAGACTGGAAAACAGGTTTTTGGCGGGGGTGGGTGGGTTGGGGGGGGGGGGGCGGCGGGTGGAGAATATCTGAAATCTAGTCCATTTGACACCCAGTTACTTAGGGTTGAGATTCCAAGTCAGTCAACTGGCAAAATCTGGGCCCAAAAGCTGGAGTAGGCTCTCTCCTCACCCTCAACAGGGCAGAGGTCAAAGGCCTCCTTCCTGTACTCATGCACAGTGCATCTGGGCCTGAACCTGAGCCATCCCTTTCTGCCTTCGGCCGCTGTTCATTGGGGCCAGGTACCCCAAGATTGTGCTGCTGGTCCTCATGAATGCCAGACTCAAAAGGGGGATGGGGTAACCCCACCATCCCAGTGCTGCTGAGAGCCTGTCTTCAGGACTTCCACCTTGTCTTTCACATCAGACCTCTTAAATCTTGTGTGAAGCTATTCATCTTGTCAGCCTGGGCCACCCCTGGGCCATATGAACTCGAAGTTTATTCTCCACTGTGTAGAGCATAAGGCATCTCATTTTTATTAGTCCTAAAGCATCCCCTCTAGAGCTTAAAGGGCCACGATTTCTGCATGCAGGATATCTTCCTCCTGGCTCTTCCTGGAGGAGATGATTGATTTCTCTTACTTCCACTCCTAAGAGGCAAACCTTTCATTTGGAAAGAGCAATGGATTAGGTTGCAAGGCCTTGGCTTGAGGACTAGCTCGGTCTCTTACCAGTTATGTGACCTTGGATAAATCACTTAACTTCTCTGAGTCTTAGTTCCTTCCATCCGTAGAACAAGGCTGCTGGGAGGTCTAAGGGAGATAATGCCTGGGGATCCCAGTTGCCACCTCTGAAGCCCATGCTCTCGCTGTGGGCAGCCCTCCCACATTGTGAAATTGCCCACACCTTCAATCTGCAGAACGCTCTTGGTGCCGTGTATGAGAAATTCAGGCTTTGGTGGCAGAATTTATGAAAAAAGAATTTAAACTAAAGAATAAAAAAAAAAAAAGAGGCATACATAAATAAATGTCATCATTATTTCCGACAGGTTCCAACTCCCAAAGGGCCAAAGGACCCAGGCGGCAGAGACCAGAGCATGACTGCTTCCAGGAGAGACTGGGAGTTTCAACAGACCCAGAGCCTGAGACAATAAGAAAACAAAAAAATGGGATCAAAGGATGTGTGGGGAACTTAAAGAATCACATTGTATTCAAATCGCACAGATGGCCTTTTCAACAATAAATGGTTGTGCTCCCATGCTCCCAGCTCGCCCCGAGACACACACCAAGACAATTGGCCCATCAGGAAAGAGACCATTGTGTGAGCTTCTTAGCGTGATTTATGTGGAGGGAGGGGCTCGGCCATGTTTCCCGTGATTATGACTCTCAAATGCGATTTTGATGTGTTCATCATCCTGGACGTCTGGGATGGACTGGGCCTCTGAGGAGCAGTGGCCACCGGTCATATTTCATCTTCTCGAGCCCGTGGAGCCAAATTAATTGTCTCATCGATTTGAGAGGCAGAGCAGCAATGGCGCTGTGGCTCACAACAGTCACTGGGAAGATGGGTCCAGGGCCCTCCAGGAGCTGATGTCTGCTTTCCCAGCAGCCAGCCAGGTCTAGGACCCTGACGGGAGCTTCCGCTCCACTCAGCAGCTTGTTGGGACAAGCCAGAGGAAAGTGCTGTCCCCAGGGCTAAGTGCCGCGTTCCGAGTCTCCATTTCCCTGCTGCCAGAGCTCCCCCGTCCTCTGCACCTGTCTGGTGGACAGAGGTAGGTCCCCAGGTCCGGGAGAGAAAAGCTCGCTGTCTTCCCAGACGGGCAATTCTCCTGCGCCTCACACTCCCCTTAATGTCATTCTGTAAGGGAATCAAATGAAGTCATGGTGCAGCTTGCTGTCTGTGCAGACTCAGCTGCTCAGCCGCTCAGAATTAACCCTGCAGGCGGAGTCTCGGCTGATAGACACTGCGGATCACTTGTCCCACTTCAGGCCCAGGCTATTCCCCTGCTGGGCAGGGCATTGGGCTGATCCCCTGTTAGATTACTGATGCGACGTGTCTGATCTTTCCTAGGCTGGGAGGAGGGGTGATCCGTGGGAGGTAAGGGGCAAATTCTCTTCTGGGCCACCCTTCTTAGGGGTCAAGTAGCCAAAGCAGCTGAGCAAACTCACCAGGGCACAAGACCCCTCGCTAAAGACACGGAGAAGCTCTTAAAAGACACAACACGGAGTGTCCAAGCTCCAAGGGGACTTCTCTAAACTGAAGTCCAGCCTCTCTGACCCCCTTTCTATGCAAATGACCCTGATCCTACACATGCCCTTTGTGTGTGAGCTATGTCTGCGCAGTTAGAGAAGGGTGTGAAAGCTGCCCAGCGCCGGGCCGCACCGGAAGATACAGCAGGCAGCGAGCAGGCTGCGCTCCAGTCACTGCCCCCATGTAGGCCTTCTGTCAGCCTCATGGCAGGACGGCCTCCTCTAAGTGTGCTGAGCCTCACTTAGCCCCAGTCCCTGACCCTCAGGAGCTCTGCAGAAAGCAAACCCAGTCAGTTTCCAGAGGGCTGTGTTCACAGGACGGAGGGACAGCATAGGCCACCCCTGCTGAGGCTGGGGGGCTGTGAACTTGACCACCTTGGCCAGCTGAAGCACCCATAACTCCCAACTCCCAGGGACATTCTCAGAACTCAGCACTGGCCCCTACCCAGGCCTCACCAGGAGGGGGCTCTGTGAGGAAGGCCCCATCCTTACGTGCATCCACTGAAAGAGTGAGACACAGTGGAGGATGAGGGTGAGAGTGGTGGAGGGACAGGAAACTCTCTCTTCTCATCGCAGAGCCTCCCCTACCCGAGGGTCTGGGCATTCACATACCCGCCTCCCCAGACATCATCCAGGACGGGCCACCATCACCCATCACCTGGAGGACTGAAGGGACGCCCCCGCTAAAAAAAAACTGATCTCCTCACACCCACTTGGGCCCCTCCTTGGGTTCTCTCATCGTCTAGAAATGTCCCTGAGATTCTGTGACTCCCTTTCTCAAAAGCCTTCAATGGCTTCCCACTGTGTCTCAAATGCAATCAATACATTAACGACCAAAGCCCTGTACGATCTGGCCCCCACCTACTTGGTCTTCCCCCTCACTAAGCTCCAGCTCCAACGGCCCAGGCTCCGTTCCTCCAGCATGTCCTGCTCCTTGCTATCTCGGGTACTCTTCGCAGGCTGCTCCATCTGTCTGGAAAACCCTTTCCAAAGTCCTTGACTGGCTAACTCCTTTCTTGGCTTAAAGGTTATGCTCTTCCCCTCTCCCACCCCACACCCACACACAGCAATGTCTAATAATATTCTCTCTTAAAGGAATCCTTTCTTTTCCTTCATAGATGATCACAGTGTGTAATCCCGTGTGTGTGTGTGTGTGTGTGTGTGTGTGTGTGTGTGTGTGGTGTGTGTGTTGGTGTTTATGTAATGCTCTCTCCCCCACTAAGACTGAAACCTTGATAAGAGCAGAGACCATGTCCCTCTCATTCTCCACAGTATCTCCAGCTCCTAGCCCAGAACCTGGCATAAAGTAGACGCCCTAAAAATATCTGATGGATGAAGGAATGAACGCATGAGTCCAGATGAAAAATGAGCGAACGGGTGGAGATGTCTTCTGGCAGCAGCTGATCCCGGCATTGTTCTCCATCAGGGCTGACCTCTCCCAGCTTCTCCTGCTGCCCCTGAGGCAGGCGCTGGAACCACCGGTAGCCCAGATGCTATTTCACCTCCTTCTTCCTTGTAGGGAATAAGCTTCTGGGTCTTCTCCATTTGGGACTTTCTGAGCCAGTCTGCATCTGCCCACAGGGCCTCTCACACCACTGTGGTCCTTCTGACGCCAGTCCACACACCCGTGGGGCCACTCCCTTCAGATGACCCTAGGCCCACCATCTTGGTCCTCCGTTTTGGGTCCAGTTGAGGTGAGGTTACTGTGTGGTAAGGGATGCCCAAGAAAGAGTTAAGTTGCCAGAAGCAGAGTCCTGCCCTTGGGTTTGCTCAGCCAATCAGAGTCTGTCCTGATGAGGTAAAGCTTCTATCCTGGGTAGCATTGGTTGAGTTGGCCGGCCCCATCTCCTGCTGGAGAGAGCCATAAGGGTGCAGTTTCTGTGGAACCAGACAGAACTGGAATTAGCTCGCTGTCGACTCGGGCCAGGGCTGCCTGACTCCAGGACCTGCCCCTGCTGCTTTCTACGGTGCTCAGATAGACCCTGGCATCTCCAGGGCCCCATCTCTAGCCGCCCTAGTGGAGATGACGAGGTGGCACGCACCGTGGTGTCACACCTGGGAGAAGTCTTACAGCCAGAGCACACCCAGGAGGCCTCAGTTTCCCTGCCTGGTCCCAGGAATACAGCAGGTGGCTACCAGGAAGTGACATGGAGCAGTCGTTACATGTGCTCAAAGCAGCAGCATTCAGCTTCAATAAACAAGGTCACTAGATGAATCTTCCTATATAGACATAACTTTAATAATAATAATAATTCACAGAGTTCTTCTTGTGTGCCACTTTGCTAAGCGCATTACATGAGTTTAATCCTCACGAGAACCCTGTTCATCCATCTACTTTACTAATGAAAATCCTGAGTCTCAGAGAGCCTCGGTGCCTCACCTGAGGTCACAGAGCAGTAAGAGCTCACGCCTCCCATATCACTCGCTATGTCTATTTTTGAACCGTCTGTTGGCATATCGGTCTCCACCGCTGGACCGCAATTCCCCAAGGAAAGAATATGACAGATTCACCCGTGCATTCCCAGCACTGAGCTCAGGGTGCACCCCGAGAAAGGTCCATTGCCCAGGCCAGCGCTGTGCATGTGGTGGGAGCTCGTGGAGGTTCACTGACAATGAATGTACAGCCAAGAGCCCTCCTCCCGCCCCCATAAAGGACCTAAACTAGTGTCTGGCCCAGAGCAGGCACTTATTTCTATATTTGATTGAATAACCAACACAATATGCATTTGTCTCTCCCTATTAGCTTAGCCTTAACAGCCACAGGTAGGACCACCTGTGAGTTATTCTAGATTAGCAGCATGGCAGAGTTCCCCATGGCAGGGAGTTTAGTAGAAGTTGTCCCAGGTGAAAGAAGACAGGTAGTTTCCCTCCAGGGATAGACGATGAAGCAAGAAACGGGGCAGAATGCTGATGAGGGAGAACGGGGTGGTGAGAAAAAGGAAGCTGGGAGAGGAGAGGAAGCCGGCCATTTATTTCTACAGAAAGAGGGAGCACGCAGGCCCATCTGGAGCAGCCTTCCACCTGCCGCGGTCAGCCAGGAGTGAGCCGGAGAAAGGCAGTGGAGCCCCAGAGACGGGATGCAGTCGACTGCTGCCCGCCTCGCTGTGTCCTTGCCCCAGCCGGGACCCCAACACTGCAACCCAAGGTCACAGGCACCTCAGACACAGCACAGAAAGCCTATGTCTGCCCCTCTCCCCCGACAGGAGGGGAGTAGACCTGGCCCCTAAGGGCAGCGCACTTCACAGGCAATCAAGTTATACAGAAATCTTGGATAACTGGACGACTCTAGGTCCTCAACTTTCATGAGAATCACAAAGCTTGAAGAGCTGCGAAGAGCCACCTGACCAATGCATAGATGGGACCGCCATGGCGGGAAGCGGTTGCCAAAGGTCACACAGCAGGGAGTGGCACACCTGCCTCTCTACTGTCCTTTGAATCCATCTTCCTCCAATTCCCTCTGTCTTTCCCCAGAAGCATTTCATGTTCAGGGCATATCACATTTATCATGTTTTGCAAACTGGGGAAGAACTTTTGCATTTTTTGAGATGTTTGAAGAATCCCACATTCCAAGTGTGAGCAAACACCGCTGAAAGGAACAGGGTTGAGAAGCAGCAGCACAGGAGTTTGGGAAGCTGCCTTGCAAAGCCCTCTTTCCCCAGAGAGGCACTGGAGTTGGGCAGACAAGGAGTGGCTTAGGCATCGGTTTCCATTCTGCAGCAGAAGGCGGAACAGTCTCAGAACAAAGAAAAGGCATTAAAAAAAAAAAAAAAGTCACGCTCCTCAGTGAGGGCTCAAAACAGATTTCAGGCAGAAGTGTTCTGCTTGACCAAAGCAAGAAGCCAGTGTCCAAGGTCTGCTTGGCCTTCCCTCTTCTCTCTCCCCTGGAGGACAGCAAGCCTAGGAAAAGGGCTGTGGCCCAGCCCTTAGCAAGGAGGTTCACGGTCACCTCGGAGGCAGCCAGGACCTGATGGAGCTGAGTGCAGGTGGATGGCCTGTGCCGGTTGGACAGCCACCTGGGCCCGGTGGTTAAGGTTTTTTTTTTTGCTGAAGCACTCCTGGAACCATACGGGACTGGAGAAAATCCTATTTACGGGAACTTCTCTCAGGAAGCATGCTGCAAGCGACTAGAAGGAATGAGCTGCTATGACTCTTCCAGTGGGTGTGATGGGGGTAGGGAAGGTTGGGCATCCTCCCCAAGGGGCCTGCCTAACAAAAAGTGGTTACTGAGTGCCTTTCAAGGAGCGTGGGCCAAGTGGGGTGTGCCAGCTGGGCAGGGCCCACTCCCAGGTGAGGGGGCAATCCTGAGGCCGTCCCAGCGGTTGGGCCCTCCGTCTTTTCCCTCCTCACGCCCAACACAGAGCTTCTCCATTAAGCACACGTTTAAAGAGTTTTGATTTGAAGACACGTCCAGCTGTTGCCTGCCCAGGCTGCCCATATATCTTGGCATGGCCCGGAAGCCAGGCCCCAAACCCTCGGGCCCTTCAAGGGTCAGTCAGCGAAGCCCGCAGCCCTGTGGCGACCAGCGCCAGAAACCCAGCCTACCTTCAGTCACTCACACTGTCCCCCTCACCCCCCAACTGAAAGTGGAGAGACTCCCCAGGGCGTTGAGAAGGCTGTTGCCAACACTCTCCAGAGCCAGCAAACTCTGAAGCTGAGGCAGAAAGAACTTCTTCCTCAGATCAGGAGGAGCTAAGCCTAAAACACAAGAAAACTGAGGAACACAAGTGCAAGCGTGCCACATCCCAGCGGCCACCCCAGTGAGGAGGAAGTGGCCTGGTCTCTGATTGTGACCGACCCAGGATCAAGGGGGCCAGGCAGCCTACAGCCTTGGCAAGTCTCTGTTGAGGAGTAGAAGCTGAGACTGGGAACCAGCCAGCATAGCAAGAGCACCTACTGAATACCGGGCACTGTGCTATGAACTGTGTATGCACTGTCTCATTTAATTTGCACAACAACCTTTGGAGGAGAAACTACTAGCCCCAGATGGGGACACCAAGGCACAGGGTAGTACAGTGACTTGCCCAAGGTCACCCGCCAGCCAGCAGCAGACTGTGACTCGGAAGTCCATGCTGTGCCCGCTGTCCTCCCTCATCACAGTTATTCTTGCCCCTGGCAAGTGTAAAACAAGATAACTGTCGAGTCTGAGATCACATAATGCTCAGACAGGCGCTATTTGAGGAGCTGCCGTCCGCCACCACCCCACCAGCAGGGGCTGTGCAGCAGCCTCTTCCCCACCTCCCGTCCTCAGCAGCCTGCCCCACTGCCCCATTGGGCTACGTATGCATGGCGCGCAGGGCGGCCCTCAACGCAGCAGGAAGAAGCACAAGGCCTGCGAGTTGACCAGCTGGTGCTCGCTTTCCTTTACCCTCTTCTCCCTGGTTCCGGCCAACCAACCACCACGGCTCCCTCTGCAGCAAATCAGACCAAATCCCAACACGGCCAACACGTTCAGCAAGAGAAGGGACCTGAGTGGCTCACAAATGGGGGAATACAACTGTGCCTCGGCCTGGCATCCGGGGGACCAAGGGGAAGGCTGTAGTCCAGCTCCGATCCCAACGCCCTCCACAGGCACGGGACCAGCCGAGGGGGTGCCTGCCCCAGATCAGCTTCAGCTGGGAGTCTCTAATCTTCCCTGACGCTCCAGCCGGCCGGCTCCCAGTCCCCAGAAAACTCCACTTGGCTCCACCCGGCCGTGGCCTGCATCGAACCAGCACGGCTTCTGCCGCAAACGTCTCCTCCCAACTATGTCTGCTTCGGGCCAGTGTTAAACACCAGTGAGCTCACCGTCCCTGGGCACGACCTACACCCAATAGCAGAGGGGGGCCGCATGCCAGGCAGCAGCCGGGAGGCCGGCCCGAACTAGACCTTGCCGTCGGCCAACTAGAGAACAGAACCGACAATTGATGGGTCGTGCTCCGTTTGGCTCTGTCGCTGTCCCTGAGCACCGTCAAACTCGCTCAGTAGATCCAGTGACACGCCAAGGGGGAGAGTCGTTCGAGCACAGGCCTCCTTGCCAAGAGCTTGCTGCCCAGATCCAAGTCCTAAGCCAGGGCTGGTCCCAAGCTCAATTCGGAGGCTCAAGGGTGCAGGCGGGCCGAGGGGGAGCCAGGCAGCCAGGGCTGTGGCCACCAGCAAGGCCCTTACCTTGCTCTCAGGGGACGGAGCCGCCAGCTGTTGCTGCTTCACAATGTTCTCCGACAGGCACCAGCACACTCTCTTCTTCTGCTCGTGCGAGTGAGCTTCCAAGGTGAATAAGCACTCTGCCTTCTGATGTCAGGGGAAACAGAGAGAGGGGCAGTCAGCGCTGCTCCCTGGTTCAGGGGCTCCCAGGACCAAGCCCAAGCCCATCCCTGGGCTCCAGAGGGTGAGGCTGCAGCAGGGAGGGGAGTGACCGCTAAAAGCCACAAATGCACACTAATCCCCGGTGACATCGAGGCAGCCAGACGAGCAGGGAAGCTGGCTCAGGGGCCAGCTGGCAAGCCGTGTGCCCATGGGTTGGGGGAAAGGAGGGAGGCAGCGGTTCCCAACACAGTGGAGTTCTGTGGAGAGCCACCGACTGCGATGGTGAGGTCACCCCCGGGGACAGGCAGCACAAGGCAGCAGCTGGGGGAGCACGTGGGGAACCCAGAGGGCCAAGGTCTCCGCCCCTCTGATGCTCTATGGAGCCAGGACCCCTCCCCGGGCTCACAGAACCCCTCTGCCCCACCTCAGCACACTCATGTGATCACAAGGCCAAGGTCAGACGGGCGCCCAGACAGCGACCCGGCCCCTTTGGAAAGTCCTTGGGGAGCAATTGTGTGGCCTTGTACAGCCCCACTACTGCCTGACACGTGAGCTGGGTCTGATCAACGGCTGTTCAGCTCAACTGAGTGCAAGTCTCTACCACTGCTGTCATTTAAATCTCACTTTGCTATTTAACCTTGTTAAATGCTGCAGTCTTGTCTCCCCAACTAGACTAGAAACTCCCTCTAGGAAGGCCTTTTTCAGCCGGGCCTAGTGCAGTGCTTGGCAAGTGAAGGCCTCAGTAAGCTCTGGCTCCCTGGAGGGACTTCCGGGATGAGGTCAAATCCAGGCCAGCTTACAGGCACCAGGGAGCGGCTGGGACCCAGGGAGTCGGCCCCGCCCCGAAGGAGTCAGAATGTGCTGGGGGCGGAGAGGGGCGGGACAGCATGCCCAGTGTTATCCTCTCCAGGACGCTCTGAGGAGGGAATGGCTAGCTCTTTCTGTCTCCGCTGGAATCTGATTATAACCCCACAGGACTGCGATTAGATTAACTCATCCAAGGCGCTAAGAGCGTGAGCCGGATGGATTGGAACAGAGAAAAAGACAGTGTTTCTACGCAGTCCTTCCTTGTTTTGCAGTTGGACAGGCCTGGTTTGAATCCCAGCTTTGCCACTTCCTAGCTGTCACCTCAGGAAAGCCTGTAAAATGGGAATGACAGTGATATCACCTACCTCCCGGAGCTATTGGGAGGGCAAGCAATAGCCCAGGCCTCAATAAACAGCAGCTATTGTTGTTATTAGTACTTCATTTGTTTAAGAAATATTTATTGAGCACCTATTTTGTGTCAGGGGCTGTAGTAGGCCCTGGGGGTGAAGAGGGAGATAAGAGAGACTGAGTTCTTGCCCTCAGGATGGGGGCAGAGACAATAAACCAATAAACAATTAAACAGTGTAATTACAAATTGTGGAAAGGCCAAAAGGGAGAGGTCCTATCTGAGCCTGACAGACAGAGAAGGACTTTCTGAAGGGGCAGCACTCCAGCAAAGGCTGAAGAGAAAGAGCCAGCCAGGAAAGTGCTAGGGAGAAACTGTTCCAGGCAGAAGGAACAGCAAATGCAAAGGCTCTGAGCTGGGGTGGTTATCAGCATCATCTAACAGCATTTGGGGACATAGTCTACCTGCCATCAAACCCAACCCTCAGGGATGCTCCCCTTCAGGGAAGGGCCACCCCCCATGCTAAGTGTTCCCAGGGTGCCAGCCATTCCTTTCCAGCCCCAAAGTGCTCAGAAGCTGTTCTTCCTAAAAGCATCAGAGGAGAGAGGGAAGAAAGCCCCACCTCTTGGCTTCAGGGAACTGAGTGGATGTGGTGAGGCAATCCTCCCACTTAATAACTGATTCCCTCCACTTCCCAGAACCCCCAGCCCACTGCAGGGGAAGGACACACCCAGCAAAGACCCCAAGATGCTCCAGGGAGAAACCAGGTGGGGCAGGAGCTGACTAGAGGGCCCTCTGCTCCCCGTCTCATTGTGTTGCCCCTGCTAGGGGAGAGTTGGGGCAGGGACTGTGGTCCCTTCCTGCTTGGAAAGGCCATCACTCCACAAATCTGGTCCTGGTCCGAGCCTCCCAGGCCTGCCTCTACCTTTATCTCCCTGAGCCCCAACTTCCTCCTCTCTTTCTGTTCTGAAGCAGGATTCTGCCTTAATAATAATTCCCTTGATCTAAGTATCAATTTTAAAAAGCACCTTCCCATCCATGATCTCAAGAAGGCATCTGAGGCACCAAGGACCTAACCCTAGGCCTGGCTGGGGGGTAGGGCTGGCTGTTTTAGATGGGCACACATTTTGGGGAGGGCCTTGCTCCCAAGGCTCCTCTCTAAGTGTTGCCTAAAGTTTTGGAGGCTGGCCTGGCCAAGAGAGGGAGCATGGAGACAGCTCCCTCCAGGGAGGCTGAATTCCCATCTGCCTAAGTCTGTCTGAATCAGGGGCCCCCGCTGCCTGCCTGGCTGCCCCTGCACGTGAACCGTCTCTCTTGGTCCACTCTGCGATCCGACTGATCAGTTTCAACACCGACAGACACTGTGCCCCCAAATATCAGGCTCCAAGGCCAAGGTTGTCAGCTGCCCTGAAAGCATCCTCACGAAACTCACTCAGAGGCAGGGCTTCCTTGACTGCAGCGTGGTTAGCTAAGCACAGAGCCCACCAGACGTGACAGCACTGGGCCCAGACCTCTGCATTCAAACATGAGCATCCCCAATTCCAACTAGAAACATGGCTCCCCTTGCCTTCTTTAAAACCCCCATCTTGCCTCAACCTCCTTGTTCCTGAATTAATATTATCCTTGTAAAAACTAAAACCTCGGGGCTTCCCTGGTGGCGCAGTGGTTGAGAGTCCGCCTGCCGATGCAGGGGACGCGGATTCGTGCCCCGGTCCGGGAGGATCCCACATACCGCGGAGCGGCCGGGCCCATGAGCCATGGCCGCTGAGCCTGCGCATCCGGAGCCTGTGCTCCGCAACGGGAGAGGCCAGAGCAGTGAGAGGCCTGCGTACCGAAAAAACAAACAAACAAACAAAAACCCTAAAACCTCTTCTACTACAATTTACGTTTGCTCACTTGCTGTGACAGATGTTCTCTCATTTTATTCAATTCTCTCAGTGACCCAATGACATAGGGAGGAAGGAAAAACACAGCTGTTACCGTTTTTCAGATGAGAAAACTAAGGCTCAGAGAGGTGAAGTCAGCAGCCCCAGGAGGTCTGAGGAGAGGAGGGATTCAAAGTCTGTCTTCCGCCTCCTCCAGAGCCTTCGATCTTGCCTCATTTGTTTAACAGTATATGTACATTACAAAAAATGTGAGATCTTCCTCTTAGCTTTTATTTTAAAGGATCAATAAATCATTGGTGATGTCTCTAATGGAGAGTAACTGAATATGAAAAGCTCTCCGCCTGTTAGGAAGCTGACAGAAATAATAGCTACCATTTATCAAGCACTAACCGTGTGGCAGGTTCTGTGCTAAGTGCCTTGGACACAGTATCTTACTGGATCTCATTTAATCATTACAACAACCTTACAAGGTAGGACTCCTCAGCCTTGGTTCAGAGATGAGTATGTGACTTGCTCAATCTTGGCAGGGCCAAGATTCCAATCTAGGTCTTCCTAACCCCAAAGAGCAAACTCTTAAATTAATGGAGCCAGGATCAAATTCCAAGTTAGCGGATGGTCCCTGACCTGTGTGGCCTTTGACCCGACGCCCCTGGTACAGCCAGTCGTGGGCTGCATCTCTCCCATGGATTTGTAGGGGCTGAGGGACACCTGTGCAGGGAAATAGAGGGCCCAGGGCCAAGGACTGCTCAGAACAATCCCACCCACTTGATAACTAACCAGGACCTACTGCTGGGGAACAATCAGAGCTGCTGCCCCCCAGGCAGTTGGGGCTTTCTCAATGCAGAGTGGAAAACTGTCCCGAAATCCTGACTCTCCTGCCCTGCCCTGGTTCTTCTCTGGACACTACCTGCACGTTAGGCAATGAAGAGAAACCACTTGCTGGGAGTTCCAACTAAGACGTGAGTCTGGGGTTCCCCATGAGTTCCAAAACCACTGTTGTCAAGCCTATTCCAGGCCGCAGGGCAAGCAGGGATCTTGTCTTCCCTGTGATACAGACATGCCTCTCGTAAAGAGCAGCCCATTAAGAGAACAGAGAGGCTTCTAGCTGCCTGTGATCTTCAAACACCCAGCCCCTTGGGGTCAGGTCACCTGACACTTTACTGAAATAAAAGGTCCCAGATCAATATCCCTTCATCAATCTTTGGAGGGGTAGGAGGTCACAGCTCCCTGGAAACCAAGGAGCAGAAGTGCTTTTCTCTGGGAAAAATAACCCCAGCCTGGCAGGAAGCTGTCTTGGCATTAAAGAACCTGGAGCCTCATTTCAGGCCCCGCTGCAGAGAACTGGAATCCAGATGGGTGAGGCTGGGGAGGTAAATGCTCTGACTCTTCCCAGCCTGCCTCACAGCTTCTCCTAAGCTGCTCGCTCGGCTCCGGGGAAATGAACTCATGCCGGACCTGAAGGGTCTCCACCAGCTACTTCCTATGCCCGGTGGGGATATGCTGACACAGGGGAGGACGTCAATGCCTTCTTGGACCTCGAGTGGCCATTCTAGGCTGCCAGGGTCCCCAGCTCAGCTCCGACAAGGTCCACTGTCCTTTGGATTCCCTGCTGTCCCCTGAAGCTAACTTCTCATCAACTGTCTTGTCCTCAGGGGTCTGTGTTCACCCAAGGGACTCACCTGAAGCCCTGCACCTCCTATCTTAGCCAGGAACTGAAGGAATGATTTTCCAATCACAAACAACATGCAAATTCCTTCCCAAAATGGTGTACTCCTCTTGGCCAGCCAGTGTAGACCAGGCCTCACCCATAACGTGTGGCCAGTGTAGATTCTCCCACAGAATAGGCAGTTTCCCAGGACTGTTACTGAGTAAGACAGACGAGCAGAAGCAGAGGGAAGGAATGGGTCTAATAAATCCCTGCTTGGAACTGGTAGCAGACTCATATGAGCAGAGGTACAAGGCTGGGATTAGAAAATTTGCTGAAAATTGAAAAAATTTGTATGGCTCAGTGGCTCTCAACTTTTTCATCACCAAGGCCCTCTTTGATTAAACACCTGGTAATGATATTTTATCTCCCGAACCATATCAAGCAATAAGCTATGTGCCCCCATTTTGCTCAGCAAAGGCACACTGTCTAGCTGAGCTTCTCGTCAGACTGAGGTAACCAGTCTTAAGGAATTAAGGAACATCAATCACACGGAGTGGGCGTCACTCCAGCCCAAAACACAGACGCTAGGTGGTTTCTTCCACCTGTATTATCTGGCCCAGGTAAAGGTACAGTTACCTTCAGGCCTTCTGAAACACTGACAAGACCCTGCAGGAGGGGACATAGGTGGTACCTTCTAGAAAGAGAGGAGGAAAGAGGTGGGCACAAGAATCAGGGCGCTCTATAGAGGAAGGACTACCAAGTGAATAGGGTGATGCCTGGCTCTCAGGCCACACCCTCACTGTGGCCCCCTGCAGGGGCTGGAGACCAGGAAGTCCTAAGCAGGAGACCACAGTGTCCTTCTGTCCCCTCTAAGCGCCTTCATGTCCACTGCTCTTCTACACGGAGGTAAGAGACACAGGGGCAGGGGTTGCTGTTCCCATTCCACAGAGCAGGACACTGCCACTCTGGACCTGCCTGGAACCCCTGCAGGAGTTGGTGTGGAGGCAGCATCAGAACCTGCACTAGAACCCGGCCCAACATCTTCCTTCAAGCACCAGGACACAGATCTCTCTCTTCAGATTCAGGGGGAAGGACTCACCTCTGCTAGATACAGCACACAGAATTTCAGGTCTTCTGAAGAACCTTTGAGGGAACAAAAAGTAAGACTTGCTTTAGAACTGGTTACAGAGTCTCAGCTGTTTACTTAAGCACAGCCAGCTGTCTCACCCAGAGGGCTGTGTGTGGTACTTCCTGTATAAAGAAGAAAGGGGCAGGGAAATCTCTGGACGAAAGCCCACTTAATATCTAATTAGGTTGAGATACAGATGTAAGGCCTTTGCCTGCAGGTCAGCCTGACCCAAGGAATACTGAGCTCTCACCCTATGAGAGGTAGCCAGGAGCACCCTCTGGGCATCAAGCAGTGGGGTACAGGGAGCTGTCATCCATCCCAGGAGGCCTCTTCCTTTCCATGTCCCCTGCAATGAGGGACATGGAGGCAGCACACACTTGGGTTTTCTTTTAAACACTCCAACTGCCTTTGCCATTTTGAAATTCAACAAGGAGCCACCCAGGAATGCATGGGCTATGCAGGGGGATCCCCAATCACGGGCTGGGTGGAGCCCAGAGATGGCTTCCCAGCCCAGGCCCAACCCCTCAGTGTGTTTTCCTAGAGCCTTCTCACCCCTGGTCTAGAATCCCAAACTCAAACACTCACCAAACCCTCTCCACCCGGGAGGCAGCTGGGAGGGCCTGTCGCCCACTCCCCGCTCCTCCAGCAGAGAAGCTGAGGCGGGATACCTACCCTAAGGCGGAAGATGATTTGGTCAGCCTGCTGCAGAAACACAAGAGCCAAGAGATGACCCACAGCTGTCAGGGAAGGCTTCCTGACAAAAGGGGGACCCTTCTGAGCTTGAACTCAAGGTGGGAAGAGAGGGCACTCTGGGAGGTGGGAACAGCACGGGCAAAGGCATGGAGATGCAGAAGCACAAGTTGTGCTCAAGGGATGGCAACTGTGAGGTAGCCCCGCCTCCTCCTCCAGGTGGCCTTCCCTGACTGCTGCAGGCTGCTCCTCAGAACCTGGCAGCACTCCCCGTGGGCCACTCATCTGAGCACAGGCCAGGGCTGGTTAGGAACTTCCTGTATTTCAAGCATTCGACCTCACCAGGCAGGTCATCCTTTTTGAGGGAAGCAATCGTACTGCACATATAACGGCAAACACTTAAACTGCCATAGGGGTCTAGAGTACCCAGTGCTGTGTGCCAACCACAGCGCCAAATGTTTCATGTGCATAAACTCGACACTCACAACAACCCCTATGAGGCAGGGGTTATTATCATCCATGATTCATGTGAGAAAACTGAGGCACAGAGGGTGAGTAACATGCCTCAGGTAGAAGGGGGAAGAACCCAGATTTACACCCGGGAAGCCTGGTCCCAGAGCTCACGCTCCGAACCACTACACACCTGCCTCTCAAATGCCCACCACGTAGGCCCTACCCAGGCACCTGTCCCCTCAAGGAAACAGGACTAGTGCTGGGCTCAACGCAGAACCCTCAACATACACCTGAATCAAAGAAAGCGTCAAAATGCGTTGCAAAGTAGAGGTGGCAAGGGAAAAACAGAGACGGTGGGTCAAGCCTATTCCTAAGAAAAGTAGTGAGTGAGGTCCTCACGTGGGTGGAGGCCAGGCCCCCTCGGAGCAAGCATATGGGCAGTTTCCTGGGCAAATCTATCCCTAAGGCCAGGGATGTCAGCCAGAGCTAGATGAAAATAGCTCATAAGTAAATGGGGGTTTGCTTTGGAATTAGAATAAATCCTTCTGCTTCTCCCCACCTAGAGATGGGTTGGGGGGCAGGGGGCAGCCCTGCCTAAGAAGTCCATCGTGTTTAAGAAACCTCTAATTTCAAAGCTTCTGCCAGTTCCTTGCATTGCTGAGGGTGGAGACAAGGGGAGGTGGCTTCTTTTGTTTAAGAAAACACACTGGGACGTTTCCTTGACTTTCTAGAAGCAGACTTTAGTGCCAAGGGAGAAACAAAAAGATCTGTGTAAGAAAATAACAGAATTTTGGGTTTTAGAAGCTGCCAGTGAGAGAAGAGAAGGTTCTAGAAGGGAGGGGAAAGCCAGGTAGATGGGAGCCTCAGGGAGACAGGAGGCCAAGGTTGGGGGATGCAGCCTAAGACATATTCCCAGTGGCGAGGGATCGCTGACGGATCGCCTTGAAACTCTTCTGTGCCGTGACACCCCACCATGGCACCCCTGCGTTACTGCACACCTTCACTGAAATCTGCTCCCCGTCACGGCCTTGTGCTGACAGCACTTTGGGAGAAGGACAGAATGCGGGCAGCGCTCAGCATGGCTCAGAGCCTCATAAATAAGGACAGCAAGGCTCAGGAGCCAAGGGTGCCTGTAAGGAGCTGCAGCTGCAGAAAAGGAGGCTGCAGCGTGGCTGGCCCAGGAGAGAAACCTCAGCTCCACCAGAAATCCTTCCAAAACACTGGACTGGGCTCTGGACTTTCCAGAGTGTGGAAACGGGGGCGGGTGTAAAGGAAAAGGGACAGTGAGGCAGCACACATTCGGGCTTTCCATCCAACACTCCAACCACTTTCACCATTTTGAAATTTAACAAGGAGCCATTTGGTTCCTGGGTGAACCCTCTTTCCCATCAAGGAATGTGGGCCATGGACCATGGGCTATGCAAGGGTGATCCCCAGTCATGGGCTGGGGGGAGCCCAGAGGTGGCTTCCCGGCCCAGGTCTGGCCCCTCTGTCATTTTCCCAGAGCCCTCTCAAGCCTGGTCTGAGATCCCCAAATCAACCAGTTACCAAGTCCTCCCCACCTGTGAGACAGGCCAGGAGGGCTGTTGTCCCCATTTTCCAGATGCAGAAACTGAGGCCCAGGGAAGGAAAACAACTTGCAGAAGGCATGCAGTGGGCAAGTGACAGAGCTGAGACTTGAACCCAGGACTGCCTGCCTCCAAAGCCTGTGTTCTGACCACTATGTCACACTTCTGTCCCTCTCCCGGTTTACTCATCTGTCATTTCACCTGGCCATGCGCTCCGGAGGTGGGAATGTATGCGTCTCTTCCTCTGCTCTCACCCTGGCGGCCAGCACTGAGGTGGGCTCTGAGGAGGTGCTCAGAAAATGTCTACCGACTAAATTTAACTCCAAGGGTACCAGCAGCCTGGACCTAAGCAGCTGAGTTTCCAAGATGGGGCGCCTGGGCTCCTCAGGGTGGATGGTGAACCCAAGAATCAGCTGGACATTTCCAGGCCATCCTGAGAGACCACAGCAGGTCAGGAAGACACACTGTGGGTGGGATACTGGCCACCCGGGAGGCAGAAACACAAAGAACAGCAAAGCCAGTGGGCGGCAGAGGCAGGAAGAGACCACAATGGGCCCCGGCTGACCGGAGATGTCCCAGTTGTTAGCGCCAGCTCTCCGCCTGTTCCCATTACACTGCCATTCAGCCTTGCTGAAGCTCGGGGGAAGCTGGGCAGGAGGAGGGTGGGCAAGGTTTAAGTGGCCACCAGCCGGGAGCCCTGAGGGAGGAGTGCACCCCAGCCCCCAAGCTGAGGCCACGCTTCCCATCTCCCTTGGGTCCTACACTCATTCACCCAACAAACAGTCATTGGGCACCCACGATGTTCTGTGCCCGTGCCCAGCCCTGGGAGTAGGCTTGGCCAGCAGAGCCAAGCACGCATCAGGCATGTCACACAAGGGAGTCCTTGGTCCCTGGGTGGGGTAGATCCTCCTGGGCCAGGGAACTGCCCTCGCCAGCCCTAGCCTGCAGGAAAGGCTGGGTGTGCTCCTCGTTCACCATCTTCTCTGCCTCAAACTGAACTTTCCGCACATGTTGATTTGAAAGAGACAAGAAACCTTAGGAGTCATGAGCAATGTTAATCAGAGACCATCCTGCCAAGAGGAGCTCCAGCTGAGGCCCCAAATGCATCTCTTAAAAGCCTCGCTCAGGCCATTGCTGCTGCAGCGAGTCTCTGGGGGTGCGGGGAGGAGGGCAGGAGTGCGGACATCAGGACTCAGGACACCGGGTCCTGCGGCTCCAACTCCGACAGCTGGAGAGGTGGTCACCGGACTTCTGCAAACCCTGGGACCCCCAAGGCTGTCTCAGGGAGCGGGGCAAGGGCTCCCCACAAGTGCCTGAAAAGACATCTAAGCATTGGAATGTGCACCTTGAGTGCTCAGTGTCTCTGAGCCATTGCCTTCGCTCCCAGCAGCTCCCTGGCTCCATGGAAAGCCACACTCGCTGTGTTTGCTGACTGACACTGCTGGAGAAAGGCAAGACAGTTCGTACCAGAACAACGGCCCGGCCAGCCAGGACAGGCGCGCGCAAACACACACACACACACACGCACGCACACACACGCGCGCGCGCGCGCACACACACACACACACCCTCACGTGCCAACCCAATAGGCTCCAAGGGCTGTGGTCATCTCTCCTGAGCACTGCTGGTCTTGGCCACCCACAGTCTCCAGCCCCAGGAGGCCATGCCCGCACAGGCTGGCGCTCACACGCAACCCGGCACGCGGGAGGTTTCTCTGCCACGCCCCAAGGCCTCACGTCACCCACCCTGACCAGCCGCCGCCCAGTGGAGGATGGTGCTTACCCTGCCTCTCACTTCAAGCCTTAGGCTGGGGCCTCCAGGAGGGGAAGATCCAACCAATTCCCAGCGGACTCCCCGCACCCGGGCTAGGGGTGGAGACCAGACAAATGAGCACTGTCCAGCTTCTCAGAGCAACCTCGGGGTCCATGTGGGCACGTCAGGTCTGGGAGGGAACACACTGGACTGCCCAAGCCTGGTTTCACAGTCAGAAAAACCGCAGCCCAGAAAAGGGAGAAAGGAGCAGCTGAAGCCACACCACACGTCAGCAGCAAAGCCAGCCCAGGGCCTCACGCCCCCAGCTACTGCCCTCGGCTCTTCCTCTGCCCTGTGGCTCCCAACCTGCACCCAATGCTCAGCCAGTTTGAAAGCCCTCTTCCCCCTCCCTCCTTTCAGCAGGAGGCTGAGCTGCCCAGGGTCCTGGGCTTGCAGGCCCCAGACTTGTGTGATGAGCCCGACTTGTGTGATGGTTCTTATAATCAATCAGCCTGTATTACCAAGCACAGCCCCCCACCAGCACCCCTCAAATCTGACTGGGTCCTAGATAGTGGGAGCTGGGGGTGGGCAGGCGTGTGAGTACATGTGTGTGCAGAGGGGTGGGAGGGACGGGAGAATGGGTGTGTAGGGGAAGCTGGGCGTGAGGGACAGAGGGAGGGGCAGGGCAGCGGGGAAGCCAAGGGCAAAGTCACTGTAGCTCTCGCTCACCCCGCTCCCGCAGGTAATGGGGGGCTCCTTGGAATGCCAGGATCTCAGCTGAACTTGCTCAGAGGGCTGTTCCTCCCCATGACCTTGGTCAGGCCCAGCCCATCCTGTAGGAGAGGCTGGCCCCAAGCAAGGTGACTTGCTTTTTCCCCTCAGTGGCCGCAGTGGTCAGTGGGCAGGAGAAAGCCAGAGGCAGAGAAGGAGAAGTTGTAAGCGACTTCCTGTGGGGCTGCGAGAATGGAGGTTCTCACACACCCTGGGTTTCTAAGGAGGAAGAACAGCGGGGGCACCGAGCACGCAGGCCGGGTTTGCAAACAGGCAGGAAGTTTTCCTGGAGCAAAACCCGTCAAAACAGAATTCTTTCACTGGGTAATATTTTCCTCCCTGCCCCTGTCACCCATGCTCAAACAGGTCTGGTGTTGTTTTCATAATCTGGGAGAGGAAATTGAGTCCCTTTCAGCAGAGACCTCAGGCGCCAAACCAAACCACTCGACAGATATTCCCGCTGGTTTCCCATTCCCGAGTGGAGGGGAGGGCACCGTGGCAAGTGTGGGGTAGAGACTCGCTTCACCCTCCCACGTGCTCCTGTCCCGGATGTGTTGCCTGGGCACACAGTGTGGGCCAGCCATTTTGCATAAACGACCTAATTTAATCTTCACAAAAACCTTCTGAGATACTATTGGTGCCCTCACTTACGCATGAGGAAACAGGCTCAGAGAGGTTGAGGAACTTGCCTGAGGTCACACAGGTAGTGAGGGGCAGAGCCAAGATCTGAACACAGGTCTGTCTGAAGCCAGCGCTTTTCCCACTCCACTCCCAAGCCTCCCTGAAACCTCACTGGAGCAGATGCCTCCTGGCAAAGCTCAGGGTGTACAGGGGCCTGCTAGCCTAGACTGGAACGCCAGTGCCTGAGAACCAGACCTAGGGGCACACATCCCATCCATGCTGCCCAGAGCAGGACTCGGGGAGAGCGCAGAGGGAGTCCAGGGCATCTCAGGCATGCACTCACCTTCCTGCAGCTTCACGCTCTGGAGGTAGAGGGGGTTCCTCAGGACGTTGCAGCGGCCTGGCTCATCCTCCTTGGTGAAGAGCAGCAGGTCAGAGTAGGCAAACAGCGTCACCTGCACAGGGAGAGAGCAAACAGAGCTCGCTCTTCTGCTGTCCCGGAGGCCAGAAGCCACAGCCTCCCGCGGGAGCCCAGGTAGCGGGTCTCCACCATCTCGGGCATAACCAGGAGTAGATGCTTAGCGCGGCCTGAGCCAAGGGCAGAGACCTGACCTGCAGTCAAGGCTGCCCTTTTGCCTACTCCTCACAGTCGGAAACATAACAGAACAAAAATCAGCCCTCATCCTCATTCTCCATGCTTCCTGACGGCCTCTGCCAGCCTCTCAACAGCCCGACACCCCACAGGCCTACCTCTCTGACCAAACGCCTCTGCAATCTCCAGCCCAGTGCCCTTGGCTTGGAGCCACCCTTGAGCTGCAGGACGTGCCACATTTGCTTGCATTCTCCTCTAAATGTCCAGCTGAAAGAGCACTGGGCTTGGAGTCAAGTCGAGGCACCTGTCCCACTAAGTAGCCATGAACACTTGGTTAAGTCTGCTGAATCCCTTCTGCCTCAGTTTTTTTTCATCTGTGCAAACAGGGGGGAACGTCCCTGCCCAGCTCCCTACAGGCTTCTTTCACAAGGTCTGTGTAGACAGTGAATTTGAAGCATCATGCAATGTGAGTATTCTTACCAAATTCCTTGTAGATAATTTTAACTGTGTTCACGCACAGTCAGTTCAAGAAAAAGCCAGTTACTTATGCTCCAACACAGACATGCACAGAACTTTTATCTCTTTTATACACTAGCTGCTCCAAAAATAAAGGAGAAAGATATTTTTAGACATTATAGGTAAACCATCAGGCATGCTCAGCATATTTTTATGCTAAGAAAAAATCCACTTGATCCTCTAATGCCAGTAAAGATTACACTGTTCTTTGTTTTGTAAATCCTGCGGTGGCCTTTAGTCAAAAGCAATAAAAACCCTATTTTAGATTCTCCGAAGAAAACAGAATATTATTAATTTTGTGGAATTCCCTTTGAGGTGTCAAAATCTGACATTTCATCTCACCTGGAGTAAGAAGAATCCGCTGGAAGGTCGGCATGCACTACGAAGGGCCACATGAGTGTGTGCTGGATTGTTGACAAAGTTTTAAAAAGCCAACATGTTGACATTTAGCTGTCAGATTGTTAAAGATGACCTAACAGCCCCACCTCTATGACTCTAGCCTATAGAAATACTTACAAGGACATATAAATATGAACATGTAGGGATGTTCTCAGCATTACAAATTTTTGTAATTTTAAAAAAGAACATAAACACCCATTAAGAGAGGATGGATAAACTAAATTATGCTACCTTCAGGTGGGAGAATTTTATGCAACTATTGAAAGAATAAAGTAGAGCCAAGTGGGCAGAAATGGAAATCTGTCCATCATAAATCAAAATAGTGCAATGTCCAAAAAATACCTAGCGTATAATCCAACTTCATAAAACCAAACTGTAAACCTGTCTGTATTTATACATTTTTTAACGTCTAAAATACTCATCATAGTCTTCACTGTGGGGAATGGGACTTGACTTTATACATTTCTGTTTAATTTGCATTAGTTTGCAATGAGAATGTTACTTTTATAATTTAAAAATACATAAGTGTTTTTCAAAGGACTACGTGGCACACAGAGGTTTGAGGGAATCTGGGCCACAGAGACAATAGGGGGCATTCTTGAGCAGGAGGCATTCAGGGCTCTGGCTTATCTAACGGGGACCAAACACAAGGGCTCCTGAACCCTGGGCTGGAAGGCATCCTGGCAGTGACTCTCTCCAAACCCCTTCCCATCACAGCCCTGACCCAGCATAGTCCACAGAAGCCTCCATTTACTGAGCACTTACTTTATGCTCAGTGGATCCTCACTTGTAACTAACATCATTGCCCTCATGTATAGGTGAGGACCCTACAGCACCGAGAGGTTAAGTGACCTGTCCAAGGCTACACAGCCAGAGACCATTGCCCAGGTCTGGATGACCGCAAAGCTCTCACAATATGGTGAGGTAGCAATGTGCCTACAGTTGTCCTGTCCCTGAATGTGAAAGAATCCAAGCAGGGGCCAAAAAAGAGGAACAAAGGAGACAGAAGTTAAGGGAAGGGAAGAAAGTGATCTCAGAGTTCAGAAGGAGTTTAGGGGTTGGTTGTCTGAGGAGAAGTCTTCAACGTCCAGTGAGTGGAAAGGAGAAAGCTCTACACTAGGCAAGCACAAGACAAACCCTCAGGGTCCCCTGACCCACTCAGTGGAAACCAGGAAGTGGTCTCTGGACCCACAGGGAAGCTGGCAGGGGAAGGGTCAGGGGAGATAGTCTGTCAGGAGCCTAAAAATTCAAAAAACAACCCAGGCCCAGAAAGGGATGGATGGATGGCAAGTGGAGAAGAGGCACCAGCAAGGTGAGAAAAGACCCAGGTCGCTGCTCTGGCCCAGATTCCCAGAGCTGAGAATGTGGTCTAGACAGGAAGTGATTAAGGCCTGAACGAAGAATTTCCCCAAAAGCCGGGTCAGGGAAAGGACAGAGCTGCTGCACAGCGGGAGACAGGGCAGAGAGGCGAGGGTGCCAGAGGAGGGCAGGTGGGCCCCTCTTCCGTCTCACCAGCACCCTGCAGGCCTCTCTCCCCGCAGGAGCCACAGCAGCCCACAGTGAAGTGACGCCCATCTCCACAGCCCAGTTACCTTCTGCTTCCCACAGCAGGCCCTGGGGGCCGCCAGCTGTCTTCCCCACACTTGTTCCAAGGACACATCTGTTTTCCCAAAGGCTCAAGAGTCGAGGAATCGCTTGGTTAGGAAATCCTTGAGACTTGAAGCACCACTAATCCCACGTGGTCCTAACCAAGCTTCCTCGGAGGAATCTTGCCTGAGGGCAGGGTTTGCAGCAAAGGCCTTGGTGCCCGAGCGTAAACTTAATGAGTCAGTGTGTAAAGTGAGGGCATGTCTGTCTTGTGCCCCATAGGACTCCTGGAACCTCCAGCACAGGGCCTGGCTCCATCGTAGATGCTCAGTAACCATTCTTTGAATGTAGAAATGAGTCTGTACCAAAACGCTGATTTGATCTCAGGGCGCGTTAATCAAGTTGGTGACTTCCGGGAGGGCGTGTGATGAGGGCAGTTCACGGTGTGGGACTGGATCAGCTCGCAGAGCATGCCCAGAGAAGAGAAGGGACACCAAGCCAAGGGGGAACATTCCATGAACAAAGATTTCTGTCGAGCAACTTTCTACAATTTAGGGCTCTCTGGTAATAGAACCACTGCCGGGAGGGCTCCCTCAGCAGACTCAAGAAGAGGCTGGATGGAGAACAATCAGCTGGAAAGTTACAGGGAAGCAATTAGAATGGACGGCTCCTGAGGGCCCAGCCACGATGCGATTCTCTGAACTTCGCCAAACCCCTCTTGAATTGGTTTATATTTTTGGCCTGAATAACACGACAGGCTACTAACAGCCACATATTTGCTTCCTATCATATTTCAAGAAAAAGAAATGCATTATTTTTCCTTGTGTTCAAATCATTTCTTTCAACCGTCAAAAGGGGTCTCTTAGTTCTAGGGCTCCGAAGACCCACTAGGCAAAGAGCTTTTGGACAGATTTTAACCATCATCAGGCCCTGGCTTCAGCTTATGTTTGTTGGTTTGTTTCTAAACAAACACACCAGAGCCAGCATGGGATCCTGGAAAGAACTGCTGAGCCAGAGAGATCCCAAGTGCTAATCATGGCTCCATCTTTTAGGAGTCTTGAGAACCTCAGGTCCTAGTAAATCTCACTGGAGCCTCAGTTTCCTCATCTACTGAGTAGGGACAAATGTGCCTCTCCTCGGGAAGCTGTGAGAGTTAACTGGGATCAAGAATGGAAAACTTGCACAGTGAGGATAAATAAAAAGTGCTCAAGGTTTGCAGGCTTAATGGTGAGTGAGTAGGGGAAGAAAAGAGCACATTGAGACATATGAATGTATTCCACAGTGGCTGCCATTTCTAACTGCCTCCTTCTGAGTCTTGTGAGTTTATAGCCACACACCTCAGTTTCTTACCTTTGGCTACCTGACTGAGCTCCACCACACACTTATTCACCAAGCATAGCTCCAAAGGACTTCTCGTTCCTAAAACCCAAATCCCCCGCAACAGATGAAGTTTTACTCCCACAGAGGCAATTCAGAAGTTATGCCAAGGTTCTTAAGAAAGTTCCCGAAGAGGAGGTCCAGAAATGTGGTAAGCAACGCCAGTGTGGTAGAAATAATCCTGCAGTCTCCCCAGGGAGCGCCCCTGAAAGACAACGCTCATTTGGAAAATATGAGTTCTGGTCTGCTTGTTTCACAAACAAAACAAAAGCAGCCTGCTTTCGTCACGACTACATAAAATGTCCCAGAATGCTGAGGCTGAAAGGGCCCTTAGAGATCAGCTGACCTCAGACCCTGCCCTTGCTGCCTCAAACACACACACACCCCACTGTTCCGATGGGAAGACTGAGGAAGAAGGAAGAAGTCGTAAGTGAACCAGGCGCGGAGCAAGAGCTGGCTACATGCGTTCTGCCTCCAAGTTTCCTGATCTTTCCACCACCCCAAGCTGTCACTCAACTCAGCCAAGCCACACTGCCAGCTCTGAATCAGGGCCTGATCGGAGGCAAGCCCCCTACCCTCTCTTCAAGGCTCCCAGGTAGCCCAGTCAGACCCCAGAGCTCCAACTTCTGTTCCCAAGTAGATTTAAACTCATGAGACTGAGCCGGAACCTGGCCAGCTCTGGGGATGGTGTGGGCGAGTGAAATCCCCCCAGTTAGAGATAAGCCGGGGCCAGCTCCCAGGAAAAGCAGCATGACCTACACACCCAGGTCTCTGTTGGCAGAGCTAGATCCCAAAGAGAGATCACAGACTTAATCCTCAGAAGAAGATTTTGGATTTGGGTTAATATACACCCAAAAACCCAGGTAACGGGTGCTCTTCTAAAATTCTCTTTGGCTAACAGCTTTATCTTCTCACCCACAAAGTCATTCATCACAGCTGGGGTGAAATGCCATCTCTCCTGCTCCTTAGAGGAAGATGGGAGAAACAGAGGAACGTCATTAGGTGTTGGGAAAACTCTCTAACCATCAAAGATGCACTCTATCGCTTTGAGAGGTGGCAAGTTCCCTATCACTGGAAATATACCAAAAAAAGCTGGGTAGCCATTTGGTAAAGAGGGCATGGAGGCCTTTTCCGGTCTTTTCTACCCCAATTGTACAATTCTGAGACCATCAGGAAGAGAGGAAAGTTAGGGGCCTGGAGGATGGCCGATGAAGCCCACCAGAAACCCCACCCGGGAAATGTGAGTGTCTTACCTCGGCAGCCTTGTTTCTCCCCTCATACAGCAGCAGCTCCTCCGACAACAGGAGGGTCCGGGCAGGGTTACAGAGATCTAAAGGCTGAAAACAAAGAGGACAGTTCAAAGAGGCCTGGTGGCAATGAGGGGGAGGGGAGGGGGAGGGGAGGGGG